AGAGCGAAGCCACTCAATGGTTTGATTGGAGGGGGGAAGAGGATGCAAGCGACGATAGCGGAAGAGCGCCCAAGAGAGAGGGAGGGAGGGAGGGAGGGATTGAAGTGAGATTGCTATCAGGTTAGATATCGCTTTCGCCAGACAGGTCCTGTCTAGGTCGATCTTGGGCCTTCGTGAGGGAGGGCCCATGCCCAAAGTACATTTCTAAGTATGCCACATTTCCTGTGCGAAAACACTGTTGACTTGTGATTCTCGGAAAAGTGAGGCAGGGGTTATTTGGCAAATTAGCCCTGACTTGGAAACCCACATTTATTTGAGGCATCTTGAGGTCAAGTGCCGCGCAAACAAATATCCTGTGATGGTTGATCTAAGGGCGTATCACCCCAGGGCTGACCATCCGAAGGCAGCCACGCCGCCACAGCCCCTGCGGACATGGGCCCCACAACGCGCTCGACGGTCGCGTCGGTTGGGTTGCCAGCCGCGCCGGCCAAGGGGCGACCCGTATAGCGTCCACAGCTCGCGCTCGGGCAGACGGCGGGAGACTTCAAACCTTAAAAACTAAAGAGTATTTGTAGACTTCCAAATGCAAAGGTAACTTGACTTTTAGTCACTGTTAGGAGGGTAAAGACCGGTCCACATTTTCCTTTGCTTGCTTTTTCTTAATTTCAAAAGTATTTTTTATTTTATTTTTTTCAAACAAAAACAACTCGCTCACTTTAATTGATCGAAGTTGTCAGTTCCGGTGTGATTTAGGTCTTCGGCTGGAATAATCGTCTCGTCCCCCCCCCCCCTTTCCCAGTGCTCACTGCCCTCCACACACAGCCCAGCCCCGGAACACCCCTCTACTGCACGCTGGCTGGCCAGCGGCGGCCCGAGTCCCGAGTGGACCGGAGACGCTGCCGCTGTTGCTGTTGGTTTGCACAGACAAAGTTTCCGCCCGAAAATAGAATGATATCCCCTCCTCGTTCCCCTTCCGCCCCTCAGCCTGCACTGCATCCGTTCTCCCCATTTGCCCCAGTTATTTGTCCGCCCCATGACGACGACGCCGTCGACGCGGTCAACCAACGCAGCTTCCCAAAACTGAAGCAAGTTCTGTGATACAACTCATCTCCCAAAATGCATTTTCTCTCTCGCCCCAGGACACTCGACCCGGCAGTCGCTCCCGGCTGGAGCGTGTTTGCTGCCCCTGGACCTAGCGCCCTGGGTTTGGTACATGGACTCCCAATAGTCTAGAGGGTGTTTGCTGCCCTGAGATCTAGCGCCCTGTGCCGGTGTACGGACCCCCAAGCTCCCCACTGGAGCCAGTCTAGAGCGTGTTTGCTGCCCCTGGACCTAGCGCCCTGGGTTTGGTTCATGGACTCCCAATAGTCTAGAGGGTGTTTGCTGCCCTGAGATCTAGCGCCCTGTGCCGGTGTACGGACCCCCAAGCTCCCCACTGGAGCCAGTCTAGAGGGTGTTTGCTGCCCCTGGACCTAGCACCCTGGACCGGTGGGCCGGTGCACGGCTCCCGTAAGCTCCCCGCTGGAGCTAGTCTAGAGGGTGTTTGCTGCCCCTGGACCTACCGAGCGCCCAGGGCCGGTGGGCTGGTGCAGGGCCGGTGCACGGTTCCCCCAGGCCCCAGGCTCACAGCCGCGCCACACTCGCACCCGCCCAAACCCCAGACTAATCGCGCTAAGCCATCGCCGTGACCGAACATGATCCATCACTCGGACGAGTTGTCAACGGTGGGGCTTGACAATGCCGCTCGACGGCTGTGGTGGGACTCGATCGCCTCCCCGTGCCGGAGCTGCCGCTAGCGCCCGGCCGTGTTGAGCCCCATCACCCGCCCCTCCCTCTACACTCCCCAAACTGCAGCTGCTGTCCGAACAAGCCCCCCAGCCCTGCCTGCCGCAAGTTTCAAGGACGAGCAGCAGGCGACAGGGGATTACTGCATTGGATGGAGGTGTCGCCTGTCACCGTGCGTGATCAAAAAGAAAGGAGTGACCCCCACCGTCACGGTGCGCGCGCGCTCCCATCGGTCGACGCTGACTGGCCACGGTTCGAGGCACCCATTAGAGAGAACCCTCCCTAAAGCACCCGCCCAAGTTTGTGTCATTGGGAAAAATACAGTTCTACGGCACAATCATCGTTGGTTGCAGATAACAGTAGCGGCATACCTTCTGTTCAGCTAGGCCCCAGCTTAAGCCGCACAAATACCGCGGCTTTGGCACCACCGCTGAACCCCATCGCTGAGGCGACGTTCTGTAACTGGTCTTCGGATCACCCGTCCAAAAAGAATCGGTGCGTACACTGTGTCGTACCAGTGAGGTATTTCGTAACGGCAAGCGGCAAAAAAATATCTACTTACCTTCCCTTTTTCTGTCCGTTTCCTGGTACTCTGGCGTTCGCCGAGCTGCCCTCACGCATATCTCCAGAAGCACCTGAACTCGATCTCTGCATGGATATTGATCGGACAAAATGATTAGTTCTTTTCGGGAACGCAGTTTCTGACAGTGTGCAGCTGCGAGGCGAGCGGGCGGGGGGACGCGATGACGCGTTGCACACATGACCCCCGGCGGCGAGGGCTCCGGCAGAGCAAGGTTAACCGCGGGGAAAGCCAATCCAGCGCGGCTCTGGAGCTGGCGCCGCCGGCGCGCGCGGTCCCGATACGAGGAGAACAAAATGGCGGCGGAACCAACGCGATGTGACTCGAATCAAGCTCGGATCTGTAATCGCCTTCTTGATTGGCGGGTGGCAGTGGCCGGTGGTGGCCGCCAGGGGTGCAGTGGGTGCGGCGGTGCACCTCTCCCTGTCTCGCTCCGGTAC